AAATCTTGTTGTAGATATAATAATGATTTGGGTAAAGTTTCTATCCAGTAAATCTTGTTGTAGATAGTTTATATGTGTGGAAACAAGCCTTTATCCAGTAAATTCTGTGGTAGATATATTTTATGCGTGTAAACAAGCCTTTATCCAGTAAATCCTGTTGTAGATAGTTTATATTTGTGGAAACAAACCTCTATCTAGTAAATACTATTGTAGATAGATTATACGTGTGGAAACAAACCTCTATCTAGTAAATCCTATTGAAGATAAATTACATGTGTGGAAACAAGCCTCTATCGGGTAAATCCTATTGTGGATATATTATATATGTGGAAACAAACCTCTATCTGGTAAATCCTGTTGAATATATATTATATATGTGGAAACAAGCCTCTATCCAGTAAATCCTGTTGTGGATATATTATATGCAGAAATAAGCCCCTGTCTACTAAATCATATTGCACAGATATACTGCATTTCTGGAATCTTCTTCGTCTTTTCCTACTGACTATAAATTCCAGTGGAAAGTTCTAGTTCTTTATCCACTTCTGGACGCTAGCCTTGATCCAGATATGAGTTTAGCGTGCACATCCGTTTTACATACCTGACTTATTGTTATGCAGACTGTTAGTTCCTTGCTTCTCAGGTAGATTCACTTCCACTATGGAGGACACCACCCCCCCCCCCTTCTTCCCTGTGAGGCCACGGGATCAACACAGGAAGTATCTGGAAACAAGCTTGCAGTCATTGGTATATCCTAAAACACAGTTCAGTCCAGCACAGATGTTTGTCTGTGTGAATTTAACAAATGGCTTAGCTTTACACCTTGACCCAAATTACAGCAACCTTCCTCGTCTTATTTACGTCCTCTTCTAGCGCTTTGGGTGTCAGTTGAGATAAAAGGTCCTGCTTCGTGCTCTTCTGGCTGCTTCGACTATAGACAAGTCGTGGTGCTGTAGAGTTTCTATGATGTTATCTTCCCATGTTGTTCTAAGTCTACCTCTTGCTTTACGTCCTTTTCCTCTTTTGATATATGCCTTGTATTGTATAGCATCATATCGCATTCTCTCAAAGTAGGCAAACCATTCGATTTGCTGTCTTTGTATGTAATTTAGAAATGATTCTGCGCTGACTTGATCTAATATGACCTCATTCCTGATTTTATCTTTTCTGGTCACAACTACAGTCTTTCTCAGAAACATTTCAATGGTTACTAATTTTCTATTATTCTTTGTTGTGAGTGACTATGTTCGGCACTGATAACGAAGGGTGGAAATGAATATGCTTTGTATGAGACGTCTCTATGTTCTCATTGGGGATTGCCTTGTGCTATAAGAGAGGGGGACAGGAAGGAGCTAGCTGTGCCAATACTTGGCCAGCTTTACTGGATGTTAGCGCCTTCATCTAACTTAGCATCTGTTGTTCCAGATGCCTGTTTAATATATGTATGTTCTAATGCTTTGTTTAAATTCTGCTTTTTTCTTCCTACTTCCGTCTTTTCTATGTTGATTCTCATATTTTTTAAAATTTATATTATTTATTGAATAACAGCAACCACTGGTATTTAATTTAGAATTCATATTCTACAAAATAATGATCTTTTCAGGGACAAACAAATAAATAAATAACCTAAATGTTAGCTATATTTTCAGAAATGTCTCAGTTTTATTTCCGACCGACCATAATTATATGCTTCAAACGTGCGCGGAAGGAAAGAGAGCCACGCTGAATAAAAACACAAAAAAACATTTTACGGGGGCAACCAGGCAATCAAGAGTTTTACAGAAATGGGGAGATTAACTTATACAGTATGCCGCTTAGGCGTTGCAAAAGCGCTTCGTACTACCTGGTTCTATCCCAGTGGTACCGAGAGCGGACAAATCGGGGAGGAATTGGAAAATACTGAACGCAAAATTGTCCAGTAACATTGAAAAGATAAATAAATGCTGGGATCGGAACTGCAACGTTCTGTGAATTGTCACGCAACTAACTGTTATATAATGCATTAGAAAGAGCACGCCGACCATCTTTACACCACGAAAACTAGGATAGTAGAGGAATAGAACAAACAAAAAGTCATTGACTTTTGTGATCTTCTGCTTAAATGTTTAGACAGGTTCCAGACATCATAAAACCGATCGTGTCAAGCAACTGCAAGTTGTGTGCCGACTGTTGAGTGTGGGGAAGGAGGTGCCTATAACAGTCACAACACACCAACCGAAATGACACGGTCGTGTGTCATCAAGGACGGGATAGTATTGTCTGTACAGCAGTGTACACCTTGGACAAACAGTCGGGACTGATGGCGAAATGCCCAACACCGGTTAAACAAACGATGTAAGGGTGTCATGACAGAGGCAACGCCAACAATAATGAAGCCTAGATCAGTCAGGCCTGATGGCGAAATGCCCAACAACAGTTAAACAAACGATGTAAGGGTGTCATTACAGAGGCCATGCCAACAATAATGAAGCCTAGATTACATTGGCTCCCCTGGATCGTTAGGCTAGGCAACAAAGGAATGAATTCATAGTCAGTAGACCCACTTACAACTATAGAACAGATGCTAGCCGGCGGACTGGTCACGGGTAACTGACTATTACAATGGAACAAATAGTAACGCAACGTTACATCATCGCCAATTACTCTTCCCCTGGTAAACGCACAATTCTACAATTTTAGCGCAAGTCCAGAATTTAGGCCGACCTTTTCATTGTTATCTATGAGATGTATCAAAAATAAAAATGTGCAGACTCAATTTTCACATTAACTGTTTTAAACAACAAAGTCTCAAAGTGGATTCAGATGCCCCCATCTTGGAAAAAGACAGAAAAAATAGACCCACTTCCCCGTGAGCGATCCGGGACCCCATTTTGGCGGGGAATAGATCCAGCCCTCCATATCAAGCTGGTCGTACAAGGCAACTAGCTATGAAGTGTTTCCTTCGAAGTCGGAGTGCATCTGTCTAAGAACCAAGAGAATGCATACAAATAAGCCAAATCTGTAAAATGGGTGTGCACGCAAAACTCGGGTTCTGGGGCCAGACTAAAGTCGAGATGTGAACGAACATCCAAAACTTCCCATATCAGAGTTTACTGCTGGTGAATTCTAAGAATAATGAGAATCAATGAAGACGTTCTTTCAGATATCACTGTGTTGAAATTATCTATCAACTTTTAATTTCCTATGTGTTGGTGGCGATCACACAGGAAAGGTGGGAAGATTTAAATAACGGAACAATATCATGGCACAAGGGTAGTAACCCATAAGTGTTCCGTTCTACTAACTCAAGTCTGAGTCCTAAGAATCTGAGCGCAGTGCACGAACTCTGTTGCACCGGCGAGTATCCGAAAATACTTTTTGGTAAATATATAACTCCGAATTTTGTTCGGGTAGCGCCAATAGGATACTTGTTTCGATTTCCAACTACCAAGGATTTTTTACGCGCGCAACAATACACATGGGCGTCCGATCTTGCTATACAAGGGGCAATTACAAACAAAAAATAGTCCACGTGAAAGAAAACCCAGCCTTCACCAGGGCCTGAACCCAGGACCCCCAGCACTCGAGGCGGACGACATGCATAGAAAAGTAACACTAGCATGTGTGTGTATGACAGGCGCCTAAGAATGTTAACATCATGGCTTGAGCCGCGTGGTTGAGTGCCTACAAGTACAAGTCATAATAACCATCTGTTGGTGTTGGCAATATTTTAGTACAGTAAAGCAATTCTTGTTAAGCTATGGGTTACTTATTGACATTAAAAATTCTAGACTGCGTTGCTGATCGACAGATAATATCCAAATCAATTATATAAATATCGCACAGCACATTTTGGTTACATTTACATGAAGCTTGAGACATACGACTGTTCAGTTATGAAACAATTTACAAATTTGGGTGACAGTTTTAGCAATCAGCGGTTAAATTAGTTGATAAACTATGTGGTCATCGGTAAACTAAAAGTAAGAAAAATAGTTTATAAATTATGGCGACATATTACAGCAGTAATCAGCAAACTAAAATTGTTTATGAACTATGGCCATTTTGTTACAGTGAGTAATGTTAGATTAACCAATTGACGAACCGCGGCGACATGTTAGTCATTAATCAGTAAGCTATGAACTATGACTACATGTTACAGTTACCAGTAAACTTGAAACAGTTAATTAAAAGATACACTTTATTCTGTTCGAATTAATGTGTAAGCTAGAGTACAAAATATTATTTATAATTAGCATTAACACAAATTATGTCTTACACTTATATTTTGTGCATGCTCATTAACATTATATAGTATAACAGATTTGTTAACCCGTAAACGATTAAGTTAATGTTAACACTAACACGCATCGTGTTCAACATCCCCTGATGTGGGACAACATGCCTTACTTTAATGGCTTGTTTACATTAAAAAAATACAAATAACTGCTGATTCTACTGATTTATTGCCGGAAAATTACTCGTATGCTATTATACTAATTGTTGGCTTGTTACGGGAACTAGCAAAGGACGTAGTAGCCTATAGAAGCAACTGCATTATAACAATTAACATGCATGTCGGAAAGTCGACTAAGGTAGGTTGACGTGAGACTAATATTTTCCGTAAACGAGGTTAATTATAAAATATAACAAATCACAGTCAGTAGGTCTACAAATGGCTTTTCGTGAACTGGTTCATGGTCTGTTTCCTTCGTAGATGAAAGACAGAAGAGGAAGAATTAATAAAATACTAGGACATATGTGTGTAATAAAAAAATAAAAAAAATAAAGCGCTGGTGTTTTCTGAAAAGTTATGAATGACCGTTTTAAACTTAAAACATCGCGTGGGAATTATTTAACCGTATCGGGAAAAATAATGATACCTATTAGGGCATAAAAACACTGTGCTGGATGCCAACAAGAACAAAGAAAAAAGCCATCAGCTGAGTGTATAGAGGCCAGTGACACAATAACGTACACGGTTAACTCTTAAGTGTGTCAAGTTAATATTGAGGACTTACCATACAACGCCGAATGCACCATATCCGATCGGGCGGTCTGGAGTTTCTGAGGCACAGGTGACAGGACTAATAATTGATCCAGACATAGGAATTGCTAAAAGTCCAACATGCTGACTGTTGGTGACACTAGGGCTTGAGGATGAGTTGTGAAAAGCCATAACATGCCTTGAACTAGTTCTCTGCCCCACCACCGCCATGGCCATGGATATATAGCCTAATACAGGCGAGCCTTGAGTGCCCGCATAAAATTTTTGGGTTGTATAGGTAAATCTCCAAATCTGCTAACAAAACTGGCGTGAAACATTCAGGTAAGTATCCGAGTGACTGAGGTCAGTGAAAGTAAGGTCCTGGGTGGTGCAGGAGAGACGAACAGACGGGGAAGAGATGTGGACACTGTCAGACCCCACTCACATGCGACCCGGCCAGCCACACAAAGAAACCGGTCACGTGATAACGCCTTCAATACTTCCCAGCATGCACCGTGTAACTAGGTTTTTTTTTTTCCTTTCTCCTTTTTTTTTTTCTCTTTAACTCCCCGATTGTTTTTCTTACTTGACTTGCTTTGAGTGGAATATTATAACAAACATGTTTATCCGGTTCAGTGTGCTTTTCTTAACTATGGTTATTATTAATTTTTATTTTAACATTATTAAGATTGTTTTTCTTCTTTTGTCTCTCGGGAACTCTCTCGTTTTTTTCTTCTTTCCTATTTTGCCCTTAGCAGGGCGATCGACACGCTGTTTTGTAGTTTACAGCCTTCCGTTTAAGTAAATCACTAGTAAGCCTTTACGACATGGTTGTTAATGATAAATAAACAATTTTACGTTGTCTAGTGTGTTCTTCCATCAATCTACTTCTTCCTATAAGTGCCTATCAGTACACTTTCTGTTACTTGATAATTCATCATTGTTGAGGATAAGTAGGTTCGTTCTATTTCCTCTCCGGGTTACTTCTTTTCTTAAAGAAAGAAAACCTGTAATTCGAATCTAATTGCTATCTCTGTCTACATTTGTAGACTTTAAAAAACTTTTTAGTTACAGGTTACATATTTTCTCTCACAAATATGCTGAATTTCATCTACCTTTGATATTGGCTGTCATCAATAAACAAAGCTAACATTACTAACAAATAAGCTCCGCCTCCTGGCTACCGGTGTCGGTCGAAAATGATCACCGAGAATTATAGTTAGCCGCATGCTTGAATTCTCACTATACCAGTCGACTCATCATACCTGTAACAATTACTATGATCACTCGTTTCACGGCCAAGGCCCATTCTAAACTAGCTATCAACATATTTTTACACTTTAAACACAAACAATTGTTTTTTTTTTTTTTTTAAATTATACGTCTGCGTTGTGCGATTATTTCGAAACTGATTAACGCAACAAAGATTTGCGAAATAGATCATGTAAAAACTAAACTACGTGTTTCATAATAAACAATAAAAGTTTATAATAACACATAAATTATTAGAATGCCTCTAATTCTTTCAACTTCACTGCGACATTTGTGTATATGGGCGTAAGTAAGGCTGTTTTATAAACACTTGAAGTGACGGGCGTTAAGTGTTCTCATGTACAAAACATACTACTTCTTTGTTGTTTGCGTGTCTGTGCCTGTCGCTTGTATAACTTGCCGAACTTTGGCTCGTTTTTTTTTTTTTTCCCTGTCAGGTTTAAAGAATTTGTTATCGGCTAACTCTTTTCCTCGGGATTTGTAAAACAAAATAAAACAGAGTGTGAATACTCCTTAATAACAATGTTTGGAGAAGTTTATATAAGTGATGAGTCAGTAATGCTGGTGAAAAAATCAGTTCGGGAGAAGAGCGTCACTGTGATGTTTCGGTGTCCGCGTCAGGTCAGGAAACTACTGGATTCGTTCCATCACCAGCTGGCGGCTTTTACACGACTCAGTGATTCTTAATCACATTTCCCCTTCTCTCTAGGATAATCCTATTTTTCTGATGCCTTCGTCGCTCGAAAAGGGGGGGGGGGGGGGGGTTACACTTCTTGTGGTTTAAAGACAGTCTGCGATAAATGAGTCTTTCGGTTCAATACATGAGATTTCAGTATATTTGTTATGAGACGATTTTCACAACTTCTTTATTAAAGGGCAAGGAATCTAGCCCCGCCCCCTTTCAATTCACCCCATTCCCCCTAATGAGGGCACGGAACAAACACACTAAGATCTAGGACTGTAATGTCGGAAACCTACCCTGCTCTTGTAAGGAGGCCAGTGAGACAATTTTCCTTTATATCTTTGTCTGTTTCACGGCAGTTGTAATTAGCAGTGAGTAGGCTTGAAGACCACTGCCATCTCAACATTGTACTCATCGGTGGATAGAATTAATGACTTCACGCACAATTTACCCACAGCATAATAAACAATAACGCCCAGGTTCTATACACACTGACGGGGGGGGGGGGGCGCGCAGGAACCTGGGGCAGGAATGTGGAAGCTTAGGCACATTGAAACCCCTTTCCCCCACATTCCCCTAGAGCTCCGGCCCGGCCGCCCCCTCCCCCATCCTCCAAGATTTTTAAGAGGATAACTCTACCCCTACTGTGTATGTATGTTCTCTTTTAATGTGTTCTGTTTATATGTGTGTGTGTGTGTGTATTTGAAAGTATTATTGCATTTATTTGACATTAATCATGTTGTTGATATTCTTATTATCATTATTATTGTGAAGCACTTAACAATGCTTTAGCCTCATGAGGCCCTCTGCTTTAGGTGTAAGGGAGCTGAACCCCTGTCCTGAAAATGTTTTCTATATATCCACGCCCCTGGTCTATAAATTATGCACATGACAAGGTCTGGTTCATTTTCTAAGCAGGAACAAAGTTGAAGAAGAAGACGGCTAAGAGGAAATATTGAGTGGGTCAAAGTGTCCGCGCAAAAAATAGACTTGGGTCAGGAGTACTGGGACTGGCCTGCGGGTGCTGTAGAATCAGAAGTTCAACAATGGACATGACAATTCTCGAGTTAATTATGTGATTATCAGTACCAAAGGGTCTGTATTGATAGACATAATCAGTTTATGGGTGTGTTTTTTTTAAATTAAAAGCGAATGGGCGACTATTAGTGTAACAAATTCTGGCATATATCACAACACCTAATTTTGCGAATGGAGATGGAGGCAGTCACCGAAGCCTTCCTCTGTCTTGATAGCTAGCTGCACACACACGTCGTAATTGTAGCTCACTCACAAAGCATGTTGAAAAAGAATGACCATATGCTCTGTATTCACCGTGACAGTCCAGTTTTGAAGGTGTGCTTCGGCTGTGTGTACAAGGCACTTAGCAGGCTGTTAGATCGACTGCTATCGCCCCTCTGGGTGGTGAGCTACGCTATGATAAAGTGGAAGTGGTGAAAGCACTCTGGGATCACGTGGATAGTGCAACACAACAGACCAATTAACCATACATGGACAGACTAATTCAGCGAGGAGTGAGAAGGAGATCTGGAAAATACCCAACACTGCCGGAAAAACAGGTGGACTTGTAATCATCAGGTTGCAACAAGTACTGTTAGCATATCGCCTCTTCGTTGGCTACTGAGGAAGGAGACAGAGCACGGGTGGGAAATTAATTAATCGGTGTCACCGGAAAACACAGAGGGGAACTGGAAGATTAAAAAAAAATGGAAACTGTAAGGACACGAGAGATCACACATTTTGCCTTCAGGTAAGCACAGAAGCTCTCGTTAATGAAGAAATACACCCCTCCCTCCCCCAGCTTACTTATCAATCCAGACCTTCTGTAAGGTTGATCCCTCACAGTCATAGGCGTGGAAACCTATTATCCAGCCCCCCCCCCCTCTCCCCCCAACCCGCTCGAAGTTATTTTGTGTAGATATATTTTTTTCTTTTTGTGTCAAATATATTATTATTTTACTTTCCTTTCAGAACATTGTTTGTGTGAATGTGTGAGTGTGTTATTCATGCTCATCCAGACTGTATGGTGCAAAGACTTGGGCTATGGTCAGGCAGTTAGACAGTCTCACTGAGGTTCTGGATATGCAGATATACTGAAGAATATATCGCACGTCATGAAATTTAATCAGTTGTCATCGTCATCAACGACGTAAACACTGGTAAAAAGTTTTAGTTGTTTGTAAACTTCTTTGGTTTTGCGTGCAGGTTATTTTTACAGATATGGTTTATTTTTTTCTGCAGGCTACTCACCTTTCAGGCAGATGCATTCTGACTTCGAAAATTGGCATTGCTAATTAGTCTATTCTTTCTGACGACATGCATGTTGGGGAGAAGTGGCTCCATTCCACCCCCCCCCCGCCCCCCCCCCCCCCCGCTCTCCCCCAGTGAGGCCTTGAAACCCATACATGAAAAGTGTATCAAATGCAGCGGTTTTAGAGGGACTGGAAATTGCTGAAAGATGAAAAAAGAGGCACGTCAATATTTCGGCCATAGTAAAGAATATAAAACTCTTCAAAAAATCACATTGGAGCAAAAACTTGAAGGAAAGCAAGCAAGAGACAACTAGCGAATACAAATGGGATAATGACATCAAGGGATGGAAGAACAAAAGTCTGAGAATGTACATGCAGGGCAAAAGATAGAGATTTTTGGAGAATGCAGATCGCTTGCAGCCAACCTTTATTGTGGAGATGACACTCTATTTATGTGTGTGTGTGCGTGTGTGTGCGTGCGTGTACGTGTGTATGTGTGCGTGTGTGTGTCTGTGTGTGTGGCAATTTTTCTGGTGAAAAGCAACGGTACACAGTGCCGGCACCTTTTTAGGAGTAATTTTTTTTCAGCGCTGCTATACTTACAATATGTGTGAAGCGTACCCGCACTTTTGTTTTGATGGATGAGGATGATGATTTTTCGATCACATGTTCTTCTAAAACAACGAACAATCTGATAATGAAGGCAACGCCAACTAATTATTAGATTCTAAGGAAAGTTACCAGCCACAAGACAACTATGCGTTTCGACGCCATCGATTATGAAAAGTACGCCATAATTAATATGGCGTCATAATTAATTTGTTCACATACTAATGATATCCTTAGTTGTAGAAGGAGTAACTGTTGTAGTGCTGTTTGTTCCTTCCAGGCTGTCACGTGAAGGTTTGACACCCTGAGATTACAAGATCTCAATCCAGATGGCAGACTTTCCCTGTGGGTTTCGGGACGCCATCAGGGGAGAAAACAAGAATAGACCCGCTGACTCTCCAACA